GGGGGGGCAGGGTGAGCCTCCAAAGGGTCCTAGGGTGTGTTCCAGGATGCTTTAGAGACTCACCCTGCCCCCCTCGGGGGTTAGAGGGGGCAAAATCACCACCTTCTGGGACTCTTCAGAGGCTTCCCAAGCCTCCAAACACTCCCAGAACCTGGCGATTTCGCCGGCGCTGGCCCCGTGCGGGGGTGGGAGGAGCGTGGCAAGGGTCCTGGAAGGCTCCCTCAGACCCTTGCCACACTCCCCCATCCCCCACGGGGCCACGGGGGGTGAAATCACCAGCTTCTGGGAGTGTTTGGAGGCTCCCCAAGCTTCCAAACACTCCCAGAAGCTGGCGATTTCGGCGGCGCTGGTCCTGTGCCGGGGTGGGAGGAGCGTTCGAAGGGTCTGGGTGAGCTTCCAGGACCCTTGCGACATTCCCCCCACCTGGAAGCTGGCGATTTCGCCGGCGCTGGCCCCGTGGGGGGTGGGGGAGCCTCACAAGGGTCCTGGAAGGCTCACACGGACCCTTACGACGCTCCCCCCACTGGGCCAGCGGCGACGAAATTGCTGCCTTCGGTCCATAAGACTATCCCCCCTACATTTTTTTGGGGGGGGAGTGCATCTTATGGAGCAAGAAACACGGTAATTAACACTTCCAGTAGGATAGAAAACTATGATCCTAATATGACACAAAAGTAGCATTACTTGAACTTTCTAATAAGGTATAATTTAGGTCTATGTTCCAGTCACAAAAACTTAACTAGCTGTACTGAACAGACCTTCAAAATAAGGTACCTCGGCACAATTCAACTATTTACCTGTAGCATAATTAGTTGTCTTTGTAACCGATTCCTGAGCTTCAGAGATAGCTTTCAGTATTAAATTCTTATTGGCCTGTTTGGAAGGTGGCAGTGAAGGCCTGAAGGAATTGAAACACAATGCAAGGAAATTTAGTGGACACTGTAGATACTTAACTTCACACCCAGAAGAGGCAAAGTCAACTTTTTTTATTTTATTTTATTTTATTTTTTGGCATTACACCTCTAGAATTCTCCAGCCATGCTGGGAGAAATATTCTGGGGGCACAGTTTCTGAAAAAGGAAACCTTGCAAGCAGTGCTTCCTATGGAATACTTTTAAAAGTCTGGCTGGTATCCACCAAAATGGACAGGTGAAGATTTTCCAGTGAGTTATCTTGTCATCAGCTGCTACACCACAACACAGCTTGGAGGTGATTCCAGATTTCTTTCCTTCCTTCTTCTCTAAAGAGATTCTTGCCTAGGTGGAGCACAGTCATGCAAAATGGGACCAAAAATACTATATTCACTTCTGTACACCCATAAATTTCAACCACTGGGCTTCTCTGCTGGCAGCCTACAGACACCAATACTGATATGATCTTTACCTTCTACAGTGGACCCTTGACTTACAGACGGCTTGACTTACAGACTTTTTGAGTTACAGACTTCTCTGGCCGCAAAATTTAGGTTTGACTTGCAGACTGAGATTTGACTTACAGACCAGAAAAAAACCAAAATGGAACAAAAACGGCCTGTTACGGGATTCATCGGTTTTCAATGCACTGTAGGTCAATGGAGACTTGACTTACAGACTTTTTGACTTGAGAACCGCCTTCCAATACGGATTAAGTTCTCAAGTCAAGACCCCACTGTATATCCCTCTTTGACATCAATTTCTTTTGGGCAAGCATAATGGCTGCATTCAGGTGGTCAAATAATGACTTCCTTTTGGAAAAAGTTATTAGTTCTTGCAAATACAGTGGGAAAGAAGAAGAGAAGGGAGCAAGCCCCATTTGTGAGGACATTGACAAGAATCAAATACAGTGGTGCCTCGCATAGCGATGGCTCCGTATAGTGATGAAATCGCTTTGCGATGGACTTTTTGCCATCGCAAGAGCAATCGCTTTGCGATGGCCCCTATGGGGAAATTTTGCTTTGCGATGACCGCAGGCAAGCGATCATCGCAAAACCCCCATTTTCGGCCACCTGATCGGCGGTTCCAAAATGGCTGCCGGAAAACCCCGCCCGCTGTTTTGCCTCGCTTTAGAGGCACCGAAAATGGCCGCCGCAATGGAAGATTTTCGCATAAGGTTAGTTTTTAAGCCCATAGGAACGCATTAAACACGTTTTAATGCGTTTCTATGGGCTTTTTAAAATCACTTAGCGATGAAATCGCTTAGCAGCAATTTTTGCTGCACCGATTAACATTGCTAAGCGAGGCACCACTGTAATACATGAAGCTATAAGCAGCCCAAAGTCCAGAAGTTCAAATCTTAACATTTAAAAGGAACAAATACAGATAAGCTCTGCATACACATAAGCTCATCTTCACTCTGCAGAAGTAGTCTGTTAAATGGAGTTAATCAGAATTAACCATTACATCCAAACTAGGGTTAATGGCCTGCAAACAAGCCAGGATATGAACCTGTAGTTTTAAATCAGTGTTTGCTTCCCAGCTTGTTTGAAAGCCATTCACTAGAGCAGTGGTTCTTAACCTTGGGTTACAGGTGTTTTTGGACTGCAACTCCCAGAAACCTTCACCACCAACTGTGCTGGCTGGTGTTTCTGGGAGTTGCAGTTCAAAAACACCTGTAAACCAAGGTTAAGAACCACTGCACTAGAGTACCTAGCCTGGATATAGTAGACAGCTATCATTAACTACAGTCTCCCAGCTTCTTTAGTCAGAGAACTACAGCTACCTGGTTAATTGCCTACTATTATCAGTGGAGGACAGAATGATTAGCGAAGGCAGAAAACACCCACATAGAGTTATCAAAATGCTCCTTGCTTCTACCATGTTCTATCAGTTTCTAAGAAGGATGAGAACAACCCTGCCCATTCAATCATCCTGCAGCAAAGGCCAGGAGCTCCTATTCATTCAATAGTTCCTGCTTTCTGCCTCTGTTTCAGATGGCATAACAGCAAAACGCCCATTTATTTATTGTAAAAGGTATGTACTGAATAATTAAGCACTGTTATAACAAAGTAACATTTTGGATGTATCGTCCCAAGCAGATTCTACGATGATGCGGAACCCATTTTGCAAAATAGGCAAGAGAACTAGGGATTATTTGGGCACATCTGAATGACAACTTAAGGTCCTAATTAATCACTTTAGCATTAGTATCTTTCCATGAAAACATGATATATCTATTTTAATGCCCCCTTTCTTAGCTTTTTGTAAAAATCATATTAGGGATTCAAAACAAGAGACTGCTAAAAATCTATTTGGGTACCTTCTTTCAGGTTTCGCAGGCACAGAGACGCTGCTGGATATGCCTCCCAGCCGTAGTCCATAGTCTTCCTCTTCTTCCTCTTCCTCTCCATCAATACTAAACCGCTTCACTTTCACTACTGAGCTTACAACTGGGAGTTTTCTCTTCCTCAGTGTTTCTTCCTGAAAGCAGGAGGACAATTTATTTGATACATTTGAACCTGGCCTCTCAAAAGAGATATTGCTAAAAAGCACTACCAAAGACATTTGTCTATTTTGCAGTGAAGCTCAAAGGCAGTTTTTATTGCTCATTCAGGTTAAAAAGAAAAATTTCCCATACAGGAATTAGCAACTTGCAAGCCTCTCAATGCTGTTGGAATCAACTTTTTGTTATTCTTAATTAACAGCCACATTGGCACAGGCTGGAGTTCATGTGAAGAACTACTTTTTTCTCATCCTTGCCCAGTGGAACTAAGCCTGTAATTGAAACAACTGCACAGATCTCCATGTATGCCTGCCTTCCTCTGGGGTTTCTACATGTCAGATATTCCCTTCTTTCTCTTGAAAGAGACTAGTCGCTTCATCCAAGCATCATGCACTTTGATGGCACTATATCACAAACAAACTGCTTCAATCAATCAATAAACTGGAATGGCCAAAGGCCCTGAACAAAATTCTCTGGAAGAACATCAGTAGGTTTGCTGGTGTTAAGATGTCTGACCACTGAGCAGTACTTTTGTACTGCTTCTTATTTTAACATCTTTAACATCTTGTTCAGGAGGAACAAAGCCACCCTACTGGACCAACTGAAGTTAGTTTTGCTACAGCGTAGTCCTTTTTTCTCTAGACTCCAATTATGCTTGCAGATATTTTAGACTTGGACAGTTCCCAATAGATCAATTAACCCAACTCCCCACCCTGTACTTAGACCAACGCCAGATGCTCACTGTTTTCCTGTAAGGCTGATTCTGTTCTTTCCTTTGCTCTCCCTGTCCTCCTACGTAACTCTGACCACCAGTTCATTAGACATCCTCTATATTTCACCACAACAGGAGGTTCTCAGCATTCAGGATGACTTAAGAGTGGCTTAAAAACTGATCCAACACACATCCCACAGTATCCTCCAAGGAATTTGTAGCAGCAATTATGCAATTTCCCACTTAGATCCACACAACAGATTAGCAAAGCAGGCTAAGCTTTTCTAACAATTGGACCCCTATTGTTGAGATCCACCCAAGTGGTTCTCAGTAATTTTTGACAGAACACATGTGCAGCAGGTTTGGGTGGAACTGCAACTGCATGTTGCCATTTATGAAGCCAAAGACAAAACATGGGCAGTTCTTATTAAGATAGTTTTCGTTTTACATTTTAAAATCTATGTTCTCAAATTATCACATAATAATTAAGAACACTAGGGTTTAATCTGTGCAGATTTCCTTGTTCTGCCTAGTGTTGCACAATTCAGATCCATTATTGCAAAGCCAGCCTTACATGGACATTGGGAGCAGGGGAGGAAGACATTTTAGTTAGCATAGAACATGGGCAGAGGGGAGACCAAGTGGTATGGAAGCCAGCACAAGAGGAGAGAGAGGATGGGCACATTGATAGTGGAGAAAAGACAGCAATAACTATCATCACGGCAGACCACAGGAAGGCAAGATTAATTCAGACAGAGCTGTTGGAATCAAGACTAGTAAAATAATCTCTTCTGTAGGGCCAATTGTAAAGCAGAAGGATTTGCTGTGAAAGCTGTCTGAATCATAGTACTTATGGCAACTGATGCTTAGGGTATTATAATTTGCTTTGGTATCAGGAAGAAAAACAGTGCTTGTTTTTTATCCTTGATTCTTAGGCTATGTAGACATAAATCATAGAACTCCATTCCCTCCGAAAACAAAATATTATCCAAGTTATAACAAGGCTTGAAAATGACAATAATCTAGTGAATTAAGACATTGTACAGCCCCATCCTTGGAAGGGCTGCTTACAAACTGTCCCGAAGATCTTAAAATCTAACTCTGAAAGAGGAAGAGACAAACAGGAAAGGGACAAACATGGGCAACAAGGAGTGAATATGGGCATGAATTTTATTTGTTTCAGTATTTCTATCCCACCAGTATATTCCTTTCAAAGTAGTGAACAAAATTTTAAAAAGTACAGCAAAGGCAAAATACAATCTTCAAATGTCAACAATCAGTAACCATTAAACACACTAATAGCAACAATAACAGAAAACATCAGAAAGATTTAACTAAGAAATATCCCATAGAATAATATTGTTGTTAAGTGCACGTAAGAGGAGAATGGAGGACGGATGAAACTGCCCTAGGAAAATATTCTGCAGATGCCACATGGATATTAGCCACACTTTTGTTCATGGAGGCATGAGTTCTATTCCAAAGAATTTGAAGGCTCATATACGGAGAAGCCTTATCCCAGAGGTATGCTGGTTTCAGGTTTATTAGGGCAGAGATGGTGAACAGTACTGCCTCTGGGGGTGTGCGGTGGGATTCCACCAGGACCAAGCTGAAAGGCAGGTTTCTGTCACTGCTGTTTGGGGTAGGAGACCTGCCCCAGCTCAAGCCCTTCTTTCACCTTATCTTTGCCTTCTCAATGCAGAGTGAGACAGATTTCTTTCCTTGATCTGACTCTCGGAGTTCTTCAATACAATTTCCAGCATTGAAACGCCAGAATTCAAACAACTAAATATTTAGATATGTAAGGTGCCAAAAGTGACAACCACATTGGTTTCATCTTTTAACAGCAACTTCCCAACTGTGTTCCATGGAATTCCAGTTTCTTTGAAAATTTGGAAGTTCCTCTGTGAGAAGATCAATAAAAGCAGTAAAGATTCTCTCAATAATAGTTGGGTCACGAATACTAGCCCCTCGCCTCCTTTAACAGCTAGGAGAAAGATGTGCACATTTGGAGACACATTCTCTATCTAAATAGGGCAATAATCTGTGTCTATTACATTTACCACCTTCCCGTTCCTTCTGGTGTATGTATGTGCCATATATAGTTCTCCCCAGTTCCATGTATCCTCACAACAACCCTGTGAGGTAGGCCAAGCAGCAATATTGTGAATGGCACAAGGTAAACCTACAAGAGATATAACCTGTAACCCCTACTTTCAGGACTCTAGACACTATACCACGCTGTCTGGTAACTGAATGTCCATCTTAGCTCTTGCTCCATACTGTTCTACAATACTAGAGTTCCATAGGAAACACATCAATGCAGAAGTAGTTTCCTGACCATAAAACGCTTGAACTCTTCCAATGGCTGAAATCCTGTTGCTTAATATGGTAAGTGGCAGCTAGACTAGGTTCGTTAAATCAGTGGGGATGGTGAGTCAATTCCTCCATAAATTCCATGGGACTACTCTAGTTGTGACTTACTATGCTAAGGAAAAAGATTTCATCCAATCATTCAATGAGCATGACATGGCATTTATTCACACATCAAAACACTCCAAGGACAGAGCATGTAAATTACAACTACTTTTCACTCTCAGTAATAGTAACAACCACATACACACATTATTCACCTGGAAAACACTAATGCAACCAGAGTGTGGATGTCACATACTGTGGATACCGTATGTGAGATATTTTTGGCCACTCTGTCTATATTTAGAACAAGGGACTCCAGGTGTCCATGGTGATCTCCATGTGTTGAGAACAAGTTAAATACCAGCAGCGCTTGGGTTCATATACTCACCTCACTGCTAATTTTATCAGCATTCCCTTTGGAAGAGGGCCTGTAACTCTCGGCCAAGCTGCCAAATGCATCTGGATCACAGAGCTGGACAGTTTCCAGTGACCTACCATCCTGTATATCAAGCTGCTTGGCATTTTGTAGGTTGCTGTGTTGTGGCAACCTCTGCAAGTGAACGTTGCCTTCCATGTTTCGACTGGCTGGTGGGCGATAAATTTCAGCAGATGGACGGGAAGAACCGTAAGTCACTGTCACAAGGGGCTTCTTTCGGGGCATCCGGTTCTCTTGGACAAAATTGAGGTCTTCGTCAATGAGATCATCTGGCTCAGGCTTAATGTCGATCACAGCTTCCAAGGGGGACAATTCCCTCAGTGGTTTCACAGTCGACATCAAGAGAGAAGGAGGGCCATCTTGGCAGGACTGCCTGCGTCAGAAGTGAGAATATTAATGCTTACCTGATAGCAAACATACCTGCGCTTTAAGAAGAGTGAGATATTCAAGATTAAAATATGTCACTCATGGTGTTTGAATAAGAATTGCCAGAAAACACCAGTAGCATATTCTGCTTCAGTCTCCAGATGATCTATTTGCTATTCTTAACTACATGTTATGCAAAGCACCACTGTATTTTTTAAAAGAAAGCTCACAATGTAAATCTAACCAGACAAACTCAGCAGTTAGCCTCACTTGGGTTGAAACCTCACTTGAGGAGTACAGAAATGGAACCAGTTACTTCAAGAGGCGGTGAGTGCTCCAACACGGGCAGCTTTCAAGAGAAAATTGGACAACCACCTATCAAATCTGCTTTGATTCGGATTCCCGCACTGAGCAGGCGGTTGGACTCAATGGCCTTATAGGTTCCTTCCAACTTCATTGTTCTATGATTCTATGAAAGAGCCTTATTCCAGAATAAGTGATACAGCACCACAGCTTCAGGAGATTTTACATTATCCCGGCAATCTTTTTTAACAACTTTTAACCATAGCCCAGAATTCTTATCCCCATATTACACACAGACACTCAGTTTAGGTACAAGGCCTAACCATGGTTTAATGGCACATCTTACACATAGAACAAATACAGTGATGCCTCGCAAAATGAAAATAATTCGTTCCGCGAGTCGCTTCATATTGCGAAAATTTCATCTTACGAAGTGTGGTTTCCCATAGGAATGCATCAAAATTTATTTAATGTATTCCTATGGGTGAAAAAAGTCATAACAAAGTCACTTACCAGGTAGGCCGAGCCCCGCTCCTCATGGTACCTTGGTAGCCCCGGAGACCAAGAAGCATCTGTAACAATGGCCCGGAACAGCCAGACTCAAACATCCGGGGGAGAAGCTCGAGCTCCTCTTCAACCTGAAGCCCCATGCACGCCAAAGAGGCGGAGGGCGGCGCAGTGACGTGAGGGGCATTCTACGGAGCTGGCTGCATAGAGGTACCTGAGGTAGCGTGCACAAGCGTATGCCTTATGAGGGGATCGGAGGGGAGGTGACAGGCTGCCATGGTCGTTGTGAGGGTGGCCCTTCTTCCACACAAGCAGTTTGTTTTGAACAAGCTAAGTGACCTTCTTCGTCCCTCTACTGAACTCAAGCTGGCTGTGCAGAGGTACCTGAGGTAGCGTGCACACGCGCATGCCTTATGAGGGGATCGGAGGGAGGTGACAGGCTGCCATGGTGGTTGTGAGGGTGGCCCTTCTTCCACACGAGCAGTTTGTTTTGAACAAGCTGAGTGACCTTCTTCGTCCCTCTACTGAACTCTCCCGCGCTCCCCCCTCAGGTGGAACTGTGCTAGGCAACCAGTCAAGCTCCCCTGTTGTTTCCTATGGCCGTGCTTTGTCTTGCGAAGCAGAGCCACAGGAAAATTTGTCTTGCAAGTCACCAAAAATCGCAAAACGCTTTCATCTTGCGAGTTTTTCGTTGCACGAGACATTCATCTTGCAAGCCACCTCTGTATTTACTAACTTGCTTGTTCTCATTGACTTAGGCTGCTTGGACATGATGAGACATTTCTGAGGAATTAAAGCCCCCACAAGACTCCTTGTGGCCAGAGAGAAGCAAAAACCTCCCCACTCCAATTTGTACAAAGGTCTCTGATTTGTGTAAACTATTTTGAGTCCTCTCCTTCTGAAATGTGTGTGTGTGTGTGCACGTTCACACACACACACACAGAACTAGATGATTCTGAAGAAAGATATAACCAACCAACCAATCATGCTTTCGATTTTTAAATAAAGCAGAAGCCCATTCTGGTTTTGTGCCCTTTATACAAGTTGTGCAGAAATTTTATCTTTTTCACAGAATACTGTTTTTGCCAAGGTGAGAAATCTATGGAGAATCCATAAAACTCCTCAATGATGCTGGAAAGAATATGGCCTTTTGGCACCCCTGTCTGTTAGGGTGTGCCATGTGAGTATTTACATTGCTACAGTTTATACAATTCCTGTGTTTTGACACTTCCTCCTCCCTCTTACTTTGTGCAGTCCAGTTCTCTTCCTTACTCCTACTTCAGAGTCAAACCATAGCTTTTAGCCATTTTAGTCTAAGCCAAACCATGATTTGTAGGCCATCATTTGCAAAAAACATGGTTTGCTTGGGTCAACTGCAAAAATGAATTGTGTATGTCATTAAACCAATAGGGAGAAAAGTAATCAGTGCATACAGAGGGGGAAGGAAATGCATGATCATCAGAACCATTCATACCATGCCAACATCTGAAAGGGCCATGAGAAACTGTAGTTTATCTAAGGCTATCTAGCAAATTCATGGCTGAACTGAAATCTGAACCAGGATCTTCTGATCTATATACTGCCAACTGTGAAGAAGCAAGTAAGAAGCTTACCAGGCAGCAGCATTCTGTTCCTGGGAACTAGTTGAGACTCGGGAATCTGTCCTTTCAGGACGAGAACTTGAGACTGTAAGAGGCTGTAGGACTTCCTCCACTCTTCTCTCCTCACTTCCATCTGATAAGTTTTTGCCAGATGGCAGACTGCTTTCAAAGAGGTTGGATTCTGAAGATTTGGCAGGTTCTGGAAGAACCAGAACATTTGACATCTCAAATGTAATAATATTTATATGTAACTGCAAAATATCTTCTGCTCTAAATTGCAACAGAACTGGATCTCCTATATTTCCTACTGCAGAAACATATGCTTTTGATATTTCTCCTTTGTGTGAGAAATTCTTACAGTTCAAAGTCCTGCACAAATTACAACCACTATATCCCTACCTGACTTACTCAACAAGTACAGCATTTATAAATGTCTTCATCTTCTTAGAACTGCAGACCTGGAAAGGGCCCCATGGATCATCAAGTCCAGCCTTTTGCAAGGCGGCACAGTGGGAAATTGAACTTTGAGCCTCTGGCTCCACAGCTAAAGACCTAAACCACTGAGCTATCCAGCAGTTCTTGTCAAAACATACAGAAAAATGTATGAGTACACCATCCCTTCTGGAAAGGTTTTAGGCCAGATCATGTTTCCTCTACTTACCTGTAGTTACAGAACGAAGTTTATCCAACACACCATGAAGCCTGAAAGATAAGAAAATGTTTTTAACACTTCCCATCCTTGTTTTAAATAAAGCTTCTGAAGACCTTGTCCTTTTCTCTAAAATTCAAGATCTGTTGCTCGGCAAAGATTAAAATGGAAAGCTTTTTCCTTTAATTATACAATTTCCATGCTCTCAGTGGGATACACTGGCCCAGCTCCAGGTCTTCTCATAGTTTATGGACCAAGAGCTCTTGCCTCTACTTCCACTGCATGCTAACTCTGGTGCAAAGATCTTAACTTCAAATAAACATAAGTTCCTTCTTATGTCTGAACTTGCTTCACCTTCAGCCCCCAAATCCCATTTTGTTGCAGAATTCACACAGAACTGGACTGGCAGCCTTGATGCCTGAAAATTTATAAAGTCTCCGAGCTTTAGTCTCTTTCCATGCACAGCTGTTGTTTCAGCAGCTTTTCAACAACAGTGGCTGGAATAAAAATTGCCTCAAGAAATTCATGGCTTTTTGACACTGGGCTACTTTTCTGTTCCAGCCAATGCACTATTTTAGGATAACTGCCCCTCCCCGGTTATTTCTGGTCAACCATGGTGATGAGAAATGACATATTCTAGTTCTCAATAAGTTACCACTGTTAGGGATATATGAGCAAGCGAGAGCTAGGATTCCAATTCGTTTGGGAAATGCAAAGTACACAAATGTAACTCGAGCCCTAACCCTGAATCCTACATATAACCTTCCCATAGGGTCAGAATACATCACAGAGTAAGAACTTTCCTAACTCAATAGCTGAAATCCTATTGGCAGAACTTTCTGGTGCACAACTAGGATAACATCTTCAGACCCTGACAGTAGTATTTAAGTGAAAGATTATAAACATATAGCTGCCTAGGTTCTGTTGGACATCGTTTTTGTCACAGGGAAGCCTTGGAGAGCCTTGGATGGGTGGGGAGCTTTTAATAGCCAAATATCATTGTCACTGGTCCTGCTGCCAGGATTAGGGCCACCATCGCCAACTCAGTGGCAATTCTCTTCACCTTCGGGCTCACAAAGGCTTTCCCAGTGCAACAGGAAGGTCTAGGGAGTCTTGAAACCTGAAAAAGAAGGCTCTATTAAATTAAATATTACTGTCACAGACTGATATCATCCTAGTTGTGTAGTGTAAAGCTATGCCAGTAGGATTTCAGCCAACATAAGATATTCTATACATGTGGATTAGGGTTTCATTGTGGGGGAACAAAACTCAAAAATACAGTGGTGCCTCGCTTAGCGATGTTAATCGGTGCAGCAAAAATCGCCGCTAACCGAAACCATCGCTAAGCGATTTTTAAAAGCCCATAGGAATGCATCGAAACCCCTTCAATGCATTCCTATGGGCAAAAAACTCACCTTTAAGCGAAAATCCTCCATACAGCGGCCATTTTCGCTGCCCGATATGCGAGGAATCCGTCCCAAAACACAGCTGGTGGCCATGTTTTTTTTCCAGTGGCCATTTTGATCAGCTGTAGGAAAAAGATCACTATGCGATAATCGGTAAGTGAAACAGCTTACCGATCATCGCAAAGCGTTTTTTTTCCTATTTAAAACACTGCAATGCGATCGCTTTTTCGATCGCAAATTCTTCGTCGTTAAGTGGTTTTGTCGTTAAACGGGGTGCTCGTTAAGCGAGGCACCACTGTAAATGGTACATCCCTAGCACTCAGCCTAATTTCACAAATTGTAACCTAAATGCTCTGAATTATAGTCCAACTCAAGCCAGTATAGCAGGTTACATTAAACATTAGAATCTCAAGATTAAACCCAGACTCTGTTACAAAAAACAATGTGTGAACGTATTAATTCACAAACTAACCTACTCAAGATTGAACTTCATCATCTTCTTTGATCCCTTTTTACTCAATACTACACAGATGTTCTTGCGCTTTATATTTCACACCTTAACACAGAAATGGAAGAAGTGGAAGAAGTACCAAAATCTACAAGTATCACCTATTAGTGGCATGCTCTTAACTGCTTAAGATTGAACTGATCCAGTTCACCATAATCACCTGATGCAAGGAATGTCAGGATGGGTGATATTCCTTATGTGAAAAAATATCTGAATGTCAACCATACTGTCAATTAGTCAAAATTAGATGACTATTTAGAAATATGCCACTGCCCTTAAAATTGTATTAAGTTTCTCATTTAAGTTCAGAAGATACACAAACCCCGCCATTTGTCTTTTACAGGGTTTATACACATATATTCCCAGCAGCTGAAAATTCTTAACATTCTTGTCCTAGACTGGTTATACAGTACTTGGCAATGCTGTACAGCCACTATGATTCACACACCCTGTCTTAAGTACTCATATTATCTGCAGCAAGTTTCAGAGTTAACAATGTATCATGGGGTTTATGGAATTAGAAGACAAACATACCAGACAGTAAATCTCACAGTGTTGTTTCCAAGAAAGAGGGAAAGATCCTCTGTCATCTGCTCCTGGCTCTTCTTGTTTGCCACCATGACCATGATATAATCAGGGAGCTCTTCATCTGATTTGAAGAATTAAAAATATATTTGGATACAGTGGTGCCTTGACTTACGAATGTCCTGACATACAACCATTTCGACTTACGACCAGCTCCAGCTGCAAATTTTTGCTTCAACTTGCGGCCAGAGCTTCCAGTTACGAACACAAAAAGGCAGGGAAAAAGGAGGGAAATTCAAATTGCTAATTGTTGGTGGTGAAGAGGCTGCTTCTTTGTAGCTCCTTCGCCCCAGCAGTTAGAGTGTGTGCGATCAGAGGAGGCTGCCTGGTAAGGTAAGGTGCTGTTTTCTGTTTTTTAAAACCTGTTCTGGGTGTTTTTGCAGCATGGTTTTGGGCCGGGAAGTGCTGTAATGGGTCTTGGGTGGTTGTTTGTTTTTTGAGTTTTCCCCCCATTTCTGATGGGTCTTGGGGGGGGTTGGTTGCTTTTTGGAGTTTTTCCCCCATTTCCAATGGGTCTTGGGGGGGTTGTTCTTTGGGGGCTTCCCCCCATTTCCGATGAATCTTGGGGGGTTTGGTTGCTTTTTAGACTGTTTTTCCCCATTTCTGATGGGTCTTGGGGGG